TACATTTTATAAATTTAATAATTAACACAGTTGCTCAGATGATGGTCACAGTGGCTCTGTTGTATTCATTTTTGTGGGGAGGGTCTATGCGATTGTAAATTTTAGTGTACATTGTGTGTACATACAAACTTCATGCTCATCTAATTTATTGTCTGTTATATGTTTTCATGATGTAGCGGAGAATATTAGGTGTACTGTGTTGAGTGGTTTTACATTCCAAAAATATTGCTGTGAAGTAGTATTCACTGATGATGTAGATATTTTTGTGTACTGGTTGAACAGGTTTCCATGTTTCACTGCTTGCAGTTTTGCTGTGGTTTTTACTTTATTAGTGTGATGGTATTTATGATTTTCTTTCATCTGCTGCTCTTGGTGTCTTCTGATGTAGTGTTAGTGTTTTGCTAATTGGAGTGCTGATGGTCAAAAGGCATTAAACATTTAGTCTGTTTAATATGATAAACTGTTTGACTTATCACTTTCACTTGTTCTCAATCGTTCTATTATACAACAGTCAAATGTTGTGTGAGAGTATAACACTTTAATATACACAAGAGGATGCATAAAATAAAAAATATGTAACATCAGTTTGCTTCATGTGCATAGGTTATTGACCTGCTGATTGTCACAAGTTCAAATGGGCAAAGCATGAATTCTTAACAAATTTCAGCAATAACTGATTTGCACCTGCACCAAGGCTATGTACACAAGGGCTACCTGGAAGTCAATAAGATTATAAACATTTGGCAGTGCACAAAAATTATGTTCTTTAAACATATACTGAAAATGGATGGTTCCACCCATTTTAATGCAACTAATGCAACATTTGAAGAATACCTAAATATGTTCATAAAAGTATACATTCTGTTTGGTCATTCATTAAATAGTCATTTCTACTTCCACATTACCTGCTTCTTAAAGCTTAAAATGATGTTACAGTTGAATTTATAAAATCCACAGATGACCACCAAATTATATAGATTTAAAAACAACAGACTGCCATGTTTGGAAGAGGCTTAAAGATTTAGTGTACAAAAACCAGAGATAATCATTCCAGTCCTCAGAGTTACTGCAACAAACAACTGCAAATGTGTGGCCTCTTGTATCTCAAGGAAACATGTGATTACACATTAACCAGAGAAAAGAATGTGTTCAAGCCATAATCCATGAAAATAAGGTCCTCTTCAACACTGATTCTGAGTTACAGTGACTATTCCTGGTACTCATTTCTGTTAGAGGCTGAGTCGACCCCTGCGCCATAGTGTAGCTGGAAGGATCAGGTCAACTGAAAAAATCCAATGACCTCATCGGGATTTGAACCTGCGACCTTCCAGCTTGTAGCATAGTGCCTCAACCAACTATGCTATCACATGCCCCCAGATGTTTACCAAATAATAAAAAACTACAAATAAAATACCAACATGCGAGAGATGGGCTATTTAATCACAAAGAATGCATATGGAAACCGGTATGGTACATCTTTGATTAACGGTATGTGCCTCCGTCTGTGGCATTGCACCTACAAAGCCTGATGGAGGGTAAGGATGAATGGCATTGCAAATGCATTACTGAGCAAGTCTTTAAATTAACTGTAATACAGGCATACATGTTACTCCAAAAACATATCACCTACCTATTTACAATGATTTTATATTTTAACATCAAAGCTGTTAGGCTTTACCTGCCTTCTACATTTCTGTGCAGAATTTAATCAAATTCAACCCCTTTCACTCCCTACACAACTGAGAAAATGTAAGGTTACCTTTCATAATATATTTCATTATGTTTCTGACCCATTTTCTGATCAACCAGAAGCAAATTTGTGCACAGTATTTATTGTGTTATAATTACACTATGATCCGTTCATTTGCAATATGAAGACTGTGAAACCCACAACAATTTCCATATTTATGTTCAGGCTCGAACTTGGATGCTCTCGGTTTGAAACCTGTGTGGTGGTGAAAATACTAACTACCAAATGCATCACACATACGTTATCAATGATTTGATAGCTACTCACCATTTGTGTAATGATGGATGATTTTTTCTTTTGAACACACAACATCCGTGCTAAAATATATCTTCAGCAAACTCCTACCTTCGAGCTTCTAACCTCCCATGACACAACATGCTGCTATATAACCGTGATAACTGCTCCCGTCTGCGTACTTTGCGGTGAACACCATTCGCACCAGCCCACACCAAACACTCCCTTCCTATCCTTCCTACGCTTCCCACCCTTCCTCCGCTTCCTACATTCCTACAGCCATCCGCGGCCAAAGACGTAGCAACATTTATGTGGCCAGGATATCCAGCCTCCTGTACATGACGTCACTTGCTTTCGAGTGAAAGATCGCCAGCGTTACTACTTTTTTCCTGGAATGACTGCAATATTCAACGAATCGTGGCCATAATAAAAATAAACCTGAATTTTAACCCTCAGACAGGTCTCTTCATTCCGGGCTTTTCCCGTTTAGAATGAATTAGCCACCATGGCGAATAGTCAGTATTCTAAACTGATAATGAGAATGATGTGTATTTGTACCAACCGTCTTAGTGCACACACCCACACACGCAGTCACAAGGGAAGGACACAACACAGAACACAATATACCAGTGGTTCTCAAACTTTTTACCTCTGAGCCCCCTGACAAGAGAAAATACTCTCAAGCCCCCAGCCTGTTTTTTTTTATCAAAATAGAAGTCATGGTATGTTTGACGTTTTATTCAGTTTGTGTTTTTCTACATACTATTTAGCAGTTTTTTACTCAAAATTAAAGTATCACAATATTAGGCCTACAATAAAAATTAGTTATAACACTTGCAATCACCAAAATATGTATTTAAATGAAATGATATTTAACTAACAAGTTTTTTTTTTTCTGCAAAGAAAATCAAACATTTAAATGTCAAACTTCAGTGTGATGGATGGGCCTGCTTTTGAGAACAAAGTTTATCAAAACGTGGTGTAATATCAGAAATGGCCACTCTAACTTCTTTAGCAATATTTAGCCTTGAACGATACTTTGACTTTATAGCTGCCAAAGCAGAAAAGCCTGTCTTGCATAAGTAAGTTGTTGCGAAAGGAATCAGGATCTTCAATGCCTTTTGGCTCAAAGTTGGGAATTCCTTGCCAATATGTATCCAGAACTCCAACAAAGACAATTTCTTAAATTTACTTTTTAATGAAGTATCACTAGTGAGATCGATGAGTTGTTCTTGCTCATTCACCTTCACAGATGTGGCCCAGGAGGTTTTTTCGAATGGATTTGTAATCCAATTAAATTTATCAAAATCATTGCAAAAGTATTTTTCGAAATGAACTTTCAACATTATGAGATGATCAAGTAGGCAGCTTTTTATGTTCATTGGAAGCATTGGATTATCAGTGTCTTGTACCATTGACACCAGAGTAGGGAACATGTCTAGCGTGTCACTTTCCATACTGTTTCTCCAGCGCTCTAATTTTCTCATGAATGCCTTCACTTTGTCATTCCAAGAAAGTACAGTTGCCTCATTCCCTCGAAGTGAAGTGCTGGGAATTTCTCAAATATATCTGTGAGGTAAACCATTTTCAATAAAAAATCCATGTTGCTGAAACTGTCTGCCAGTGAGTGATTTTCCTCATTTAAAAACAGAACACCTCATGCCTCAGCTTAAACATTCTCTTTAATACCTTGCCTCTTGAAAGCTATCGAGCATCACTAAAAACAACAGAGCAGTGTGTTCGGCACCCATTTCCTCACGCAGCATTTTAAAAAGTCTAGACTTCAGAGGATTTCAGAGGATGCGGCTGCTGCCGAACTATCAACGCTGTCTCTGGCATACACGTTTTATAATTGCCGGTAAAGAGAATAATTATTAGTTATTTTGAAATTCATGATAATTAAAGCCTGTACTCATTAAAAGTTTTTCTACATGTATTTTTATTTTTTGTTACTTTTCTAATTGATTTAGGGCAGTTTTAATTTTTATCTGTAGGAACGTATGCTGCGCCCCCCTTTGAAGCCCTTTGCGCCCCGCCCCGGGGGTCGCGCCCCACAGTTTGAGAACCACTGCAATATACACAAGAATATAGGAAGAGTACTCCCATAGGAAAGGACTGACGTAACTCACGAGTTTGAAGTGCGACGTATAGATGATAAATCTTGAAAAGTTTTAATATATAAACTTTATTAGTATACATGACATATATACATTTTAATAATTTTATAAAGGAGACATGATGGCATACAGTGCAATGGTTTGACGTAAATAAAACCACACCTGAAGATGGAACATTAGTGCCGAAACATGTAGTGAAGAGAAAAGTGAAATTGCGTGCACTGTAAGACGGTTGGTACAAATACACATCATGAACGTGAATCGGTGCAACAAGACGCTAAAATAACATTATTGATAATGAGAAATCAAAACTAACATCAGAGACACTCAAGATGACGTCGCTGCCTGTCCATTTTGCACTCATACTGATATTCAATATTGCTGGCATATGTTCTCGTGCTTCTTCTTCTTCTTTTTTTTTTCTTTTTTTCCTTGGCACTACAGCCCCAGTGGGCCTAGGCCTACCTCCATGAACACCGTTCACTTCGGTTTTTCTAGATCTTACACACGGTAGGACTCCTTGGGCGAGTGATCAGCTCGTCACAATGCCTCTACATGTAGACAAACACAGAAAAACGCACGCAAACATCCATGCCCTGAGTTGGATTCGAACCCACGATCCCGGCTTCCGAGCGAGCGAAGACAGTGCGTGCCTTAGACCGCTTGGCTACCGTGAACGGCCCCGAATATTCATTACTGCCATTACAAATATGTACCCATTAGCTTACTTCAACCAAGATCTAAGTTTTTTACCGACGAAGCCCCGCAAGTCGTGTTTAGAAAGTTCAGCCTGAAATTTCTATATATAGAACAGAATACTGAGTCTCCTAAATCAGTATACTGTCTAAATACAAACATAATAAGCACGGCGTGTTCTGAATTATGCATTTAATCACTATGACTTCTTGAATTGTGGACCCTATATAACCAGCATCCATGTCAATTGGGTCTCTTTTAACCACGGCATGGCGCGTCCGTAAGTAGCAGCTGGAGGCGACTGCCTCTGGATATGAAATATAATCAATAATTAGTCGCGGGCAGCCGACAAGGGGTGGTCCTCGAGCCTGTGGGTTGGGCATGAGGCTAACAAATTACGTAAACAAATTGTTGCCACATGTTACACAGGAACTCGGTCATGGACTGAATCTTTCGAATGATGCAAGCAAGAAAAATGCAGGTGAGGTTGCTGCACATGCAACATAAGGAGTCGCTGTAGGGCAGGTTCACTGACAACAGCTGCAAGAGAAAAGAGATTTAATGGGAGTAAAGGAGTTCAGACGAGACATGGGTAGCTCTGAACAAGCAGATGTCACGAGTTAGGAGATTGTAGACGGTGTTTTAAATTTGTAATAAGATTAACTGCACCTCTTACAGCTCATGACTACACTTCACTGATCACTATCACAAACAGACTAGTGTCCTCAGTCACAATTCTTGGAAACGACTTCAACGGCGGACGTTCCTCTCCTTCCAGGCTCACGTCCTTGCAGGGTGACGATCATCTCACCTCAACCGCATACTCTGACCACTGGCTTCAGCCGGTAGCTCCCGGGCTGGACTGACTTCCATCTGCCAACCTCCAACTTCAGCTGTCAAGTATCGACTGACATCCGAGCCGAGCTAACTAGCTTCCAACTGCTGATCTCACAGAGTCAGAGTCAGAGTCAGAGTTATTTTGCGACTGGCGGTTTACCGTCAATCAGTACGTTTTGGGGTCAAGTACCTTGTGGATTATGATACTTTTTTTTGCAACTAAACCATTACGGTCATAGTCCTCATATAGCAACCTCCCTGACAAGAGGACGGGGCTTTCTCTTATGAATATGGGTCCAAATTCCACTCATGGTATTGATGTTTAGTGTTTGTGTGTGTTTTTTATGTGTTTGTATGCAGGTAGCGGCCTTGCGACGAGCTGCTCACCCGTCCAAGGAGTCCTACCGAATGTCTGAGATCTAGTAAACCGAAGTGAAATGTAGAGTTTCATGGAGGTAGGCCAATGCCCAAATTGGGGCTGTAGCGCCAAAGGAAAACTAAAAAAGGTGTCTGGCGTTAATTCCCAGGTGGGGCAAGCATAAGTCATTATTAGGGCTCGGATTTCTATGACATGTCATATTTTTATCCTGACATCTTTTCACATGTATAATTAAATATAAACGCATTTCTGACTCTTGTGAACATGAAAATACGGATTTTATTGGTCATATAAATGCATATTTGAACCATATTTTAGCTTTTGGTCATATTTGGTCTCGAAGTGATATAAAATTATATTTTTTTGTCATATTTTAGGCGAGTTTTACTTATTGCTCAGAAATATATTTGCAAGTACTGGCAACGCTGTTATTTGGAACTTCATTTCTTAGAAATATTTGGCCTTGTATAATGGGATTTGAAGGAATACTGTACAGTGTGAAGGGTAACGGTTCTTGACCTGGCGTAGAATCAACCACTTTGAAAAGAGAAATTGCCACCTCTGCCTCTGTCTGTCTGTGTCTCTTTTTCTCCTCCACTGCAATGATACCTGAAGTCCAGTTTGTTTCTTGCATATTGGTGAACAATTTTTCCATCCACAAAGCGGAAAATTTCTACCCTCTCCCCGAAACCCGTCCAATACAGTACCGTATCCATAACTTCAGTTGTTCAGTATAGTTTCAAGATGCCTAAAGTCAAGTGCTCTAATAGCGTGAAGTTGCGTGGTTTTTTTTAGGAGTTTTGTGACAAATATTTTAGTACTGACGGAGAAATTTTATTTTGCAAAATGTGTGAAGTGAAAGTTACGGCAGGCAAACGTTTTACGGTGCAACAACACTGCAATACAGCTAAACATAGAAGCTGTGTAAACAGAGAAATTACCACCGAAAGTAGACAGCGATTGTTGTTTGAAAAGTCATCCTCCAGTTCACTGAAATCAGGAAATGCCTCCGAGTTTTCAAAGGATCTTTGTACTATGATGGTTTCATCAAATATTCCATTACATAAAGTAGATACACCTAGTTTCCGAAACTTCCTCGAAAAATATACAACTCATCCCATTCCGACCGAATCCACATTAAGAAAGAACTATCTCACTTCCTGCTACGATGCTACCATCAATAAAATAAGAAACTGTGTCGGAAATAATAAAATATGGGTGTCTATCGACGAAACTACCGACGTAAGTGGTAGATTTGTAGCGAATGTTGTTGTTGGTATACTGAAAGATGACCAGCCTC